TCAAACTGCCACCTTGAAAGTCCGGGCAATATTCAGCGTGCCCGAGAGCACTGCCCTCTGCATCTTTCGCAGTACGTCTGTGCTTCTGCCTCCCACCAGCTCGCGCATCATGACATCCAGCTCCCGTGACCACCCCCCGAGGGCATCCATAATGATGTTATATTGCTTCACCTCGTAGCCTGGGAACTGCTGCCTTAGTTCCCAGCGAAGGGGTCCGTACTTCAGTGTCTTCTCTTCATCCTTTCTTGTCCGATTGTTAACCCACGGGCAGCTCATTTCCAGCGTCACAACTCTCTTGCACATATGATTTACAATGCGTGCATCCACCCTATTGCATCTGACCTCTTGTTGATCAGCATATATAGGGACATCCCAATAAGCTTTAACATTCTCTGACTCATACACGGGCTTCGGCTTGTCGGGTGAGTACCAGGGTGGTATCTCGTCTATAAATCCCTCATCATACAACAGTTCGTAAAACAGTACCTTCAGTGCTGCGTCGTGTCTAGAGAGATACTTGCTCTGGGCCAGCGCACTGCATCCTGACAAGATATGTGCCACACTCTCTGGAGCCTTGCCGCATAATCTGCACCTCACCTCGCCTTCCCCGCTTGTGTGGGTCTTCTGACTCGTGTATACTCGCGTTGGCAATAGCTGCTCGTATAGTTCGACGAGTCCAGCAATTGTGTATGATGGGAAGTTCTTCCACTCTGTGAGCCACCAGAAACACCCATCGGCACTCAGACTCTCATCCTCTAGCCTGGTAGTCACTAGACGCCCTTGCCATCGTTGGTTTCTGATCTCATCCTCTAACTTCTCAATTTGGCACCTCCGCACCTCTTTCTTGATCCCTTGCGCGTGTTCCAAATCCAACTCCAGCCCCAACTCCTCCGCGCACTTAGCCGCTTCTTTAAAAATTGACCAACGCCCCATCCTTGCCGCTTGCTCTTCAAACTCCATTACCATTCCCAGTGCACGATCTCCATTACCATGGAGTCTGACTGCACCCTTGATTTTTGTGGCTTTGTACTCCATTTCAACAGAGCGCAATCCCCGCCCTCCCCTACCTCTTGGCATATACAACAATGCATTCGAACTACATGAGTGTCTACCCCCGCTCTCGACAACAGTCTTGCGTGCTTCCCTATCGATCTGCTTAAGTTCCATCACCGGCCACTGTTGTGTCCACATAAGGTATCCAAGAACAGGCAATGCAAACTGATTTGACGTTACCACCCGATTATAATCGGACAGGGGACTTGTCCAAATAACTGACAATCTTCTGAGATACTCTCTTGCTGCACACTCCAGGACCAACTTATCCTCCTGCCTAACACTCTCAAGTACTCCAAGGAGCTTGTACCGCTCACCATCATCAAGACATGGTATTCTAGTCGACTCCACAACTCTCTCCCCTGAGACAACAGTCACTTGTACCCCCCCTTTTCACATGGGCCACCGCACACTTCTTTAGGTTCCATTGAAGCCCCACATCCTCCATAAATGACTTAACCATCTTCATAGCCCGTTCAAGCTTACTCTCCGATGCAGCGAAGATCTTGATATCATCAATATACAAGAGTCCCGTAACCTTGCTGTTAATAGGTTGGGACATCCAGTATCCTTCAGCGGCTCTGATCTTCCATGCCACTGGGTTCAAGCATACGGTGAACAGCCTCGGGCACAATGCATCCCCCTGTGGTAACCCTCTGTTGAACTTAATCCTTTCGGGGGTCTGTCTCCCTTCCCTTGCGATCGCCACTACCTTTGTGTTCCAACTCTTACACAGTTTAGCAATGACTTTACACAACCATGTGGGAAACCTGTGTAACGTCATCACCCCATTGAACCAACTATGATCTACAGAATCGTAGGCCTTTTTAACATCAATCTAGGCCCCGCTCAAATTCCGCCTCCTCCTATGACAATCCAACGCAACTGTTCGGTCGATCAATAAGTTTTCTGTTGTTCCACTGCACCCTGCACGTGCCCCCCTCTGCACGCCCTCCATTAGATCGTTCTCCTCAAGATGCTGGTTTGTTGTGACAAGCAGACACGAAGTGAATCACTTATAAAGCGTGTTTAGACATGTGATGGGTCGTTGGTTGTCGCTGGTAAACTCTCCGGGTTTTGGGATTAACGTTGTTTTCGCTTCACAAAACCATGCTGGATACTCTTCCTCATACTCGGAGATCACACGGAATGACGAAATAACACCCTCATGCAGCGCTTGGGCGCGTTTCCACCAAAAATTGGCGATACGATCCGGTCCAGGTGCGCTCCAATTCTTCTTCCGCGCTAAAACGTTTACAGCCTCACTTGTAACTATGTCCCAGGCCTCCTCCACCGAAGGAGGGACGCGATCGTGAATAATAGCTCACAAATCATGCAGCCATTCCGCTTCCGATTCCCGTTCCGTTCCCTTCCCATAATTCCTTCCAAAAGCTACTTGCTTCTTCGATATTAACAAACACCTTCTCCTCTATTTGCTCATCCCGTTTCCCAGGGTCTACATATTTAAGACGCTCACTCTCTTGGTCGTTAGCCAACACTCTTCTCATGCCCGCATATACCCGGCTAGTATCATCTTTAAATTGTTGATTAATCAACCTTGCTTCCTCTAGCTTGTTGCCTCGCACAAAGCCTTTCTTCAGTTTTCGTAAAGAGGATTTCTTCTTCTCAATATACCCAACAAGTGATGTTATTGATAACGTGCGGCATTCTTTGTGCAAAATCTCCCGGTTCCTTCTCCCTCTCTTGGTGAGCTTTCGGTTTTCTTTCA